CAATTTTTCAATTTTTCTGAGTGCCTTTTTTCATAGGATCCGGCTCCAAATCTCAGAATAATTTAGTGTATGGAGTTATGGGATCCCATAGGACTCTTAGGACACAAAATCTCAACGAAAAAAAATTTGAAATTTCATCGTTTTAGTAAGAAGGTCTTTGAAAACTTTGAAAAGTCATACTTTTTTTTCTATTACAGATAAAAACCTGAAATTTTCAGTGATTCTTATCCCAGTAGAGGATTACAATCCCTGAAAATTTCAACTCATTTGGACTAGTAGTTCCAGAAATAAAATCGTGTTAAGCAATTTGGGATGATTTATTAATTTTGCAATTTTTCTGAGTGCCTTTTTTTTATAGAATCCGGTTCCAAATTTCAGAATAATTTAGTGTATGGAGTTTGAGGGATCCCAAAGGACCATTAGGACACAAAATCTCGACAAATTTTTTTTTGAAATTTCATCGTTTTAGTAAGAAGTATGATTTAGGTTTTCGAAAACTTGGGAAGGGCATAACTTTTTTTCTAGTATAGATAGAAAGCTGAAATTTTCAATGAATCTTATCTCAATAAAGGGACTACAATGCCTGAAAACTTCAGCTCATTTGCACTTATAGTTCCTGAGATAAAATCGTGTTAAGCAAATTGGGGTGATTTATCAATTTTTCTGAGTGCATTTTTTCATAGATTTCGGCTTCAAATTTCAGGATAATTTAGTGTATGAAATTTGGGGGATGTTAATTGACCATTAGGGTACAAAATCTTAACAAAAAAAATTTGAAATTTCATCGCTTTAGTAAGAAGGTAGCTAAGGTAAACGTACCAATTATTGACACCTTAAGGCAAGAAAAACCTTTTAAAAAATCACCAAGGTTATACTGATCACTTAAGGTCCAATTTATATTTTTTATATCATTTTTTGGACTTTCCCGAACAAGATGACCATAGTTTTATTAGGAGTAACTTAATTTTTTTCGGGAAAAAAAATTTTTGAATAAAATATAACAGAGGCACCAGTTATTGACAGTTCATTTTTTCATAGGCTCCAGTAATTGACACACCAATAATTGACACAAAAGGAAAATCATTTTATTCAAAAATAATATTTATAATCTATTTTAGGCCTCATTTATTTCAATGTTATTTGAGAACACATATTTTATTCTATCACCGATGTTCTGAATTTCTGGTTGAGGTAGTTTTTCAACGATGTCTTCTAATCTTATAGTAGAGATATCGTTTTCTGCTATCTTAAAACAGGATTTTCCGTTTATGGATCTCAGAGAAGCAACTTCAATATCATCCTGCGCGTATAGTTTTTGTACGACACAGACATATTTATAAAAAAAAACTTTCTTTTTCCCTCCCATAAACTTAGCCAAAATGAAGTCTCCAACATGTATATCATCATATTGTAAATTCGTGGTTAACCCTGAAGTCTTTCTTGATTTCAAGCGGATCAATGGAATATGGTCATACTCATCTTCATCTTCTTCTCGTTCCGAATAAATGTTGACATCATCCAAACTATCCCCGCTTTCCACCCACTCTTCACCTGAATCTGATGAGTCGGAAGGTAAAACTTTCTTCTTTTTGGCTTTTTGTTGAATTTGCCTGGCTTTCTCTTCCTTTTTTCGTTTCCTTTCTTCCGCTTTATTTTTTTTTTCTTCCAACATTTTATCTTTCTCTCTGGCCTTTTTCATATGGTATTCCTGCCATTTTTCTGAGGTGATAGCAGATGGAATTTTTTCTTTTTTTCGTTTTTTTTCTGAACTAATTTCTTCAGGCCAGAATAGCGCCTTCTTGAAGGGTGTGGGAACTTGTTCTTTTAATGATGAAAGATTTAAGGGTGTTATGGATTTCGATGAAAGGGGGTTAGTCGCAGACAAGATAGCGGAAGCGGGCGTTATTTGTTTTTCTGGAGTAGCGAGAGTGTCATAAGGATCTATTGTGGGATTTTCTTCTGCCTGATGTCCCAGATGTAGACCTGAACATCCCGGCTCCGATATATCATTATCTTTTTGTTGCAGAACTTCTCCATTCGAATTATTCGCTTCGATAGCTTCTGCAATAGTATCTTCTTTTCCAAGGTTGTTTTCATTGCCTGGTTTGACTTCTTTGTCAACTCTCATGTTACTGATCGATTCCAGTTTCATTGCCGACCATACATTAAATAGTGAAGTATCTTCAATGTTTCCAGTCCAATCAGCTTTGAAATTAGCTCTAAATCTTTCTAGTTTTTCGGAGGGAATGGTTTTCTCCAAGACCAAAAGTCCTTCTTTTGCTTTGGGAAATTGTTTAGTGTTTGCTGATTGGGTAGAAATTTTTGAAAATTTCACATTTTCAACATTGAATGGACAAATACCACAGCCCCTAAAGCCATTTTGTATCGTCTCTTTTGTGATTTTTGATAAGGCCTTCTCAAATACGGTTCCAAAATTATCCTTCCTGAACTTAATTCCATGGTTGTCGAGATGCCAGTCTCTTACAGATGATTTCCAAAATTGCTTAAGGGGTTTGAAAACCGCCACATCCATGGGTTGGATTAAATGAGTCGAGTTGGGATATAAGGCAAATAGTTCAATTCCGTTTCTTGAACAGAATCGTGATAAATGTAAAGTCATATGCGACACATGGCCATCTATGAACATTAAAATCGGTCGTTTAATTTTTTGACTTTCTAGCCACGGAACAAACACGTTAGTTACGTATTCAAAGAAGGTAGCGCCACACATCCAGCCACTTTCTGACCGACCTAATCCCCAAGTTTTATTGATACTGATTGCTATATTGCTTGGAATACGTTCATACTTGAAAATTACCATGGGCGGAGCAAATTCTCCAGCGGCATTTGCTGTCACCAGAACTGTGAGATTCTCTTTTTCGTCATTTGTTCCAGCATTATACACACTCTTATCTCCTTTTCTTGCCAATACTTTGTCTGCCTTTGGCTGTAGAAAAAATGCACTCTCATCGGAATTGAAGACTCTTGTAGGATCGTTGGTTATCTCAAACAGGTATTTAGACTTTAAATAAAGCTCTATTTCTTGGAACCATTGTCGAAGCTGTTGTTCAGACACTTTTTCACGAGCAGGTGTTAAATTTTGGGCTACCCTCTTACTCAAAATTGGATGCCTTTTCATGAACGAGTCATACCACTTTCGGCCTGGACGGAAATTGGTAAAAGGGTTTGGACGTTTATCGTCTCGAATTATCAATTGGACGCTATCCAACAATTGTTCCTTATTGACTGGATGATGTGCCTTAGCCATCGAAAGAATCCATTTTTCGAGAAGATTCTCTTCATTGGTGGTCAGAATGGTGCTGGGTCCCATTCGGCAATCCACTGGTAACTTTCCTTGTGATTTATACATCAGCGTCACTCTAGGAACAGAGTGTAGTCTAGCAGCCTGGGCTACAGGTGTTCCTCTTGCCACAGCTTCAAGAGCTGCATTCATCTGCTCTTTCGTGTAATTTTTTTTTGGCGCCATATCTGAAATATACAATGACAATGCTTCAACAAGATCTAGTTTGTTCTGTCGGGTCCACGTTTATACGTATTTTATTGGGTATTCGCCAAAGAGGCGTAATATCAACCTACCCAATGAAACACATATTTCGTTGCTCCAGTAATTGACATCTTATGTACCAGTAACTGACACCCTGTCAATAACTGGACCCGATTGTTTTTTTGAAGCCATATTTATAGGGAAGCTTACACACTCATACTTGCGTATCTTAGCATTATCCACTGAATATGCATCGATGTACCAGTCATTGACACTAGTGTCAATGACTGGTGATATTAGGTTTAGACTTGATCCAGTCATTGACACCTCAGCAACCTGGCACTAGATGATTTATGCCCACAGAAATATGATAGAAACAATACCTCATAGTCTAGATGAGCCCCCCAAATACTTATAAAACATCAAACATAATTTCAGCAATTGTTTAAATGCATCAATTAATTTACTTACCTTAACGATTTGCTTAACGTTTTTCTCCAGTCACAGACACTTTGCAAATGGCGGCATGAAAACTGAAAATGGAGTTTGGCGATTCAACTCCCAATCGGTACAGGGTTGCCAAACCTTCTATTCTTTAAGATTTTTTACGTAAATATACTCTGTTCACCAAGATGATCTTATTTTTGAATTAAATGTGGCTCAGTGTCAATTATTGGATCAGTGTCAATAATTGGTACGTTTACCTTACTTTATGATTTAGATTTTGGAAAGGCATAACTTTTTTTCTATTATAGATAGGAAGCTGAAATTTTCACTGAATCTTATCTCAATAAAGGGACTACAATCCCTGAAAATTTCAGCTCATTTGCACTTATAGTTCCTGAGATAAAATTGTGTTAAGCAATTTGGGGTGATTTATCAATTTTTCAATTTTCTGAGAGCCTTTTTTCATGGATTTTAGCTTCAAATCTCATAATTTAGTGTGTTCTCTATTATAGAGGGTAAGCAATAATACAATAATTGTTCGAGGAGAATGAAGTACATACTTAATTAAATTTTAAACACAAAATACTTAAGTCAGTTTTATTTAAAGCCAAATAATCCTAAAAGTTTCAACATAAATATAGAAAATTCAATAAGGTACAAAATGCACAAAACAACAATTAATTATTGATAAGATAACAGGAACAATTAACGAAAAAAAACAATAACAAATTGTTGACCTTCTATAGAAAAGGACCTACAAATCAATTAAAGGTCGACTACTTTATAAGGGACCAAAAAATAAAAATTAAAACTAGGCCAAGGTGTAGGGTACCCAGAGAAGGTTACAACAGTATAATTTAATTTACCATATTGTATATTTATTTATTTATAAATAATCTCATTACCATCAAAAAGTGCCATTTGGCAACGCCGCTTTCTAACCTCAATATGCCAAAAATTAAACGTAAATACAACAATTTTAGGCAATAAACAATTAATTTTTAGCAAAATACAACTAATAATTTATTATGATGCAAAAATAAATTACCTTTGCAAGCAGAAACCATAAAGTAACTGTTTTCGGTGACGTCGGAAAAATCGAGGTGGACCACTGGACGTGTGTGACCGCTGCAAGTTAACGGCGTCTGTCGTAGATTGGCCATTTTCCAATTAATTAATTAATACTGATTTTTGATTAGAAGTCGAAGAAAAGCCCAACAAACAACTTGCAGCAGTCCGAAAAACGAACTGAGAATTTTTCGGAATAGAATTTTCCCCTTCAACAATAAGGTGACAGCAATAAGGCAGTGTTGCCAAATTGTTAATAATAATAGTAGTTGTAAATGCCAGCAAAAAAAAGAAGAGTTTATTAAGGAAGAAAAGGCGCTTAATTTTAAAAATACAAATTTTCATTAATTTGTTTTACTTACAAAACCAAACTTTTGAAGCTTTTTTTTCTCCTGTAATAAGAATAATAAATACCCATGATAGGCTAGATATAATTGGTTTATGTATTAATTCTGTTTTTCCCCGAACTTTTTTTGGTTTGTTCCCACCCGTATTTTCAGCTTGAAAGTTTTCTTTCGCCAGTTTTCTCTATAGCTTTGTTTCTTGGTTATTGTGCATTTTTCTTTATTTTCTCCTGTGGATAATCTATATCTACTAAATCAGCTGGGTTTTTCGTTTTTACTACGCTCTTTTTCCTAGTTTATTTCAATGTTATTCCATTTTTTTTTTTTTTATTTGCCTCCGAGTTTGCCTCTAAGTTCTTTTCCTAGTTCTTTGTGCTGCTTTTGTCCTCTATTGCTTTCCTCAGTTTTGTTTTGTGGCTCTTTCTATTCCACTCAGTTTTATCCGCCTGAGCTAGATCATTTTTTCCATTTTTCCCTGTATAATTATGGATATCCAGAAAGTGTCTGGATATTGAATTATTCTTAAGAATTTCAATTTTCAATTAGATATAGTAGAAAAGGAAAATCGAATTGAAAAAGATAAAAACAATAAAATATATAGCTTAGAACCAAGGGGTAGAAAATAGATCAGCCCCCGTATACAAAGAAAGATAATAATAAGGAAGAAAATATACAAAATGTTTTGTTTTTCGTTCTTTCTACGCTCTATCTTTATTCTGTGTATTTCAATAAATAATTCTATTTTTATTCTATCTCTTTTTTGCTTTTGTCTCCCAGTTTCCTTTTATCGTTCTTTGCTGCTTCCTTCAGTACCTATTGCCCTTTATTGGCTTTTTTTACTTTGCTCAATTTTTCCTCGAACTTTTTGTAGTTTGCTCCCATCGTTTTCTCAGCTTGAAAGTTTTTTTCTTGGTTGTTGTGCTTTTTCTTAGTTTTTTTTCGGTGGCTTATCTATACCCACCCATTTCGTTTTTCGTTCTTATTCCGCTCTTTTTTCCAGTTTATATTAATATTTCCAATTTCTTGCTTTTGTCGTTCAGTTTTTATTCTAGGTCGTTGTGCTGTTTTTTCCCATTTGTTTTCTCCAGTTTCTCCTTTATAACTCTTTGTATTTCGCTCAGTTTTTCCAGTTTTCACTCTTTAACATTCAAAATTATTGGTTCTTAATGGGAACCGACTCTATAGTTTATAAGAGCTTGGGAACTGGAATAAACTAGAATTTTATCGCTCCTTTAAACAAGAATTTTTTAGAAAAATCACATTGGAACAAAGGAAAAAACCAAAAACCTGGAATAGATAAGACAAGAGTTTTCTCACATGTAGAGGAAGTATTGAAAAAGTAAAAGAATTCTGGTTGATTTTGGATCTTTTTCGTTTATGCAAAAATATTTATTATTGTTATCTGCAATACTTGAAATATAATAAAAATAATCATTGGCTGTTGATACTTTAATATCAAGGGGCTTTATCGCACATTGTTAACCAAACAAATATTGGGTGTTATGTTAAACGTAAAATTTTATAGAAAACATGAGGTCAAAAGTTATCTTTTATAACAATAATAATTTACTGACTTTCGATTTGTCTTTCTTTTGCAAATTTCAGTTGTGTTCTTTAGTTTTTGAAGTGCACACAATCTTATTTCAAAAAGGTATAGGAAGAAGTTTAAAATTTCAGGCATCTAAATGTCTCCAAACTCTTCAATAATTCCCCCGTCGAGTCTCGGCATAAAACCACCCCGAAGACGACAACAAAATCAAACTGTAGAAATGTGGCTGGAAGATAAAGCCGAAACTGATAATGCAGAAGGCCTATGGCGAGTCCACGATGATATTTACGATTTGACTGATTTTGTTAGCAAACATCCAGGCGGTGCTGAATGGTTGGAGCTCAGTAAAGTAAGTTTTTTTTTTTAATTAAAAACCAATAACTATTTTTTTATTCAATATAGGGCTTAGACATAACTGAAGCTTTTGAAGTGCACCATCTCACCAATCGCCCAGCAGAAGTTCTTAAAAAATACCACGTGAGAATGGCAAAAAAGAAAAGAAACGCTCCATTCACCTTTAAAGAAGACGGATTTTATAAAACCCTCAAACGTGAAATAATGTCGGTTTTGCCCACTCTACCCAAACAATCCGCAAACACTTCAAACTTTTTCACCGACTCATTTTTAGTAATCATGTTCTTTTTGGCCACTCTGGCAGCCAAGTACTGGAACTTTTTCCTAGGAGTTTTGGCTGGAAACTTTCTAGCATTCCTCTCAATTGCCGCCCACAACTATTTCCACAAAAGAGACAACTTTAGAATGTATTATTTTAATTTCTCATTGCAAACTGTAAGAGAATGGAGAATCAGTCACGTACTGAGCCACCACTTGCACACAAACACCATTGACGATTTTGAAATTTCTTCTTGGGAACCGTTTTTGCAATATTTGCCAATTGAAAAAAGCCCTTTTCAACGTTTCGGTCAATGGTTCATAGCTCCTCTTATGTGGATGACTGGGTTCCACCGAGCAATTATCACAAGAGCAAAAGAATACGTTAAAGGCAGAAGAAATCATGTTAAAACAACCGACTTGGTACCATTTATCTTGCCCCTTTTTATGTACATTTTAAGTGGAGAAACTTTATTAAACACTTTAATCATGTGGAACTTCATAATAATAATAGGAAGTACCCATTTGTTCTTTGTCGGACTACACGCGGCCCATCACCATCCAGAAATCTTCCACGACGGAGACCATCCACGATCCAAAACCGATTACGATTGGGGCATGAGTCAACTGGACGCCATCATGGACCGTAAAGAAATCACCGGATCGCATTTTTTGGTTCTCACAAACTTCGGCGACCATGCCCTGCATCATATGTTTCCCGTTTTGGATCACGGTACCTTGGAACTTTTGTATCCGACTTTCAAGAGAGTGATGGCTCAGTTCGACACGAATTTGAGGATGGCGTCTCAAATGGAGACGATTTGCGGCGGGTTCCGGCAGCTGGTTAAGGTTGCACCCAGCCAAACGGTACCGGATTTGAAGAAGTGGGATGTTAATAAATATAAATAAATGTATATTATTTTGTTTTAATTTTTGTATCCGTTTTCTATTATCTTTTTGTATATATATTTGTTGTTTTAGAATGTCTTTCTTCGTTGTCCAAAACCTAATTTCCATCCTCTTCTATCGTCGCAATCCTCTGATGAGAGATTTCTTTCACTCATGGACTTTTCTCATTCCAGTTTTGGTCTTCCTCGTTTTATTCTACCTGTTGGTTGCTAATGCAGCATTTTTTTGGATTACCTGGGCATTTGGCATTCGTTCTACGACGTGTCCGTACCAGGTAAGTTATTTTCTTCCAATGTCTTGAATTGAAGTGCCTTTTATTCCCATTTGTTGTTTTATATTGTCGTTCCTTATATTCTCTCTCAGGCCCCATTCTTGGTACTTTTCTATATCAGTTTTGTAATCATATACTGCATATCCTCTCTGTCACTGGCCACTATAACCTGATCTTTTGCAAACTGAAGAGTGAACAGGCACCTATCATTTATCTCTATATCCATTTCATAGAGTTTCCTCTCCCAATTTTTCAGTGCTACTGCTACGTATATTTTTAAAAGTGTAGGAGAGGTACAACATCCTTGACGTAGTCCTTTAGTCACTACAAATGTGTCTGTGAGCTTTTTACATATCTTAATTCTTGAATTTGAGTCTTTATATAGTTCTTTAAGTGCCGTTATATAGGTGTTATTGATGTTGGATTGTTCTAATACTTTCCATAGTCTTGATACTGGGACTATATCGTTTGCTTTTTGTAGATCCACAAATGTGAGGTGGTTTTCCAAATGTCTAGCACACCGGTTCCCAACCGGTGGGTCGCGACCCCTAGGGGGGTCGCATAAGATTTATGAAGGGGTCGCAATGCCAATATTATTATATTATATTTTTCTGCATTTACGGACGAAGCGCATTTTTAGCGCAAAGTACAGGTTGTGACTCGAATGTTATTGAACATACCTATGCATTATAGCTGAACCTTCCAACACTTGAGAATGAAATACAGCGTTATTTTCTCAAGCTATCTGGACAGAAAGCTGCAGTAGTAAGAAACTCGTTTATGTTGCCGACGTTCCTGAGGAATTTCCTACGATGAATTTTTAGAACTGAGGAATGATTCCATAACACCTGCCCTATTTCAGGAAAAATCCTTGACTGAATTTTGGTGTATCATGCATAGTTCATATCCTAATGTCGCCCTGCTTTCTTTCTGGATAGTAATACCATTTGCCTCTACTTGCCTACCTTCGTGAAAGTGGTTTTTCAACTCTTTTGCAAATTAGAAAAAAGGCCAGAAATAGACTGGACGTTCAAGATGACATAAGATTGGCTTTGAACCAAACATTTCCAGACTTATTGTTACGCAGATGCAAGCTCAGTCATCACTTAAACAAAATAAAAATGGACTTTTTGTATTTAGTTAAAAAATATTAATGTGTTTAGGGGGTCGCGACCTTATAAGAAAATCTGAAAAAGGGTCGTGACTCAAAAATGTTGGGAACCACTGAGTCTAGCAGATCTCTTCTCTATGACTTGTTTTAAGCAAAATACGTTGTGCGTATCTGATCTTCCTGCTCTAAAGCCGCACTGTTTTTCTTCTTCTTGCCCTTTATAATGTTCAGGTGAGTGTCTTATTTGAACAATTCAACAGTATATTGGTGAGTAGATGGCTGCGGAACTCGCTGCGCTCGTCCCGCAGAGGTCCACCCATCAGTTCCGCAATAATCCACTCATTTGTACTTGAACAATAACTTATTATATAAAGTTAGAATTTATAAGATTATCCATTTTTTTGTCAATTTGCCTTTTAACAGGAATTAGTAATGTTAGTTTACCAAACTAGTAACATAATGTGACAAGTTATTCAAGTAAAAACCAGTAGATTGTTGCGAAACTTATGGGTGGACCTCTGCGGGACGAGCGTAGCGAGTTCCGCAGCCATCTATTCACCAATATGTTGTTCAAGTACAATACTAACTTGGTGCTCTCAGTTGTGAGTTTTTCTCATTAGTTCAAAAACTACATTTAGATGAATGTCTTACTTGAATAGTTCAACAGTATATTGGTGAGTAGATAGCAATGAAATCGCGCAGGATTCTACCGTATAGTCTGCTTAGTGTGCTGTGCTTGTGACTGATATACCCTGATAGTTATTGCAATCCAGCTAATTTCCTTTTTTGTGAATGGATGATATAAAACCGTTTTCCAGTCTTGTGGAACAAGGTGTCTATTTAGGCTGAAAATGTATGTAAGACTTTTACAGAGTTTCTCGGTTCCCCATTTCAGCATTTCGAGCAATATCCCTTCTGGGCCGCGAGCTTTACCTAACTTCAGATTCTTAACAGTTTTTTTTTTACTATTTCCTCAGATATCTCAACTATTTCTCCATGTACTTCAATATGTCTTGGAGAATCTAATATACAGGGTGACTGGTAAGTGGACGTATTCCTTTGAGGAGGTGAAAGCAGAGCCCATTTGCTACCGATTAAACATCATTCACCTCTATACCATTCTCAACGGTTTTTGAGATATTTTTCATTTATATATTTAAGAAATTCACTTTTTTGGGAGGTAAATATATAAAATTATCGAAATAATAAGGAACATACCTTATTTAGGTAAATGTTAACACCAATATTTGATAACATTTCTATTGTAACACTTGTTATTAAAAACAAATCGAGTAATTTTTTCTTCATATTGGTTACTCTTACAAATAAAACTTATTTATTTAATAATAAAACAAAAGACTAATTCTGAAATAATGTGCCTTATTCTGAAGACAATTATATCGAGAACTTTTATTAATAATTTGTACGTTTGATATACTATGAAATTTTCGAAATTTTTAAGCATAAAGTAACCATTAGTTTGTAACTTGACAAGGAAAGTTAAGTTTAAACCGAAATAATTTAATAGTTAATATTATTATTTCAATAATTTTCAATGCTAATATTTGTGTAAGTGTGTCAGCTTATAATTTGAAAAGCGACATTTAAAATTGCTTTTATTATTTTCCTTAATATTAAATATTTACCGGGCAAAGGAGCGAATTTCTTGGTGAGTGTCTTATTTGAACAATTCAACAGTATATTGGTGAGTAGATGGCTGCGGAACTCGCTGCGCTCGTCCCGCAGAGGTCCACCCATCAGTTCCGCAATAATCCACTCATTTGTACTTGAACAATAACTTATTATATAAAGTTAGAATTTATAAGATTATCCATTTTTTTGTCAATTTGCCTTTTAACAGGAATTAGTAATGTTAGTTTACCAAACTAGTAACATAATGTGACAAGTTATTCAAGTAAAAACCAGTAGATTGTTGCGAAACTTATGGGTGGACCTCTGCGGGACGAGCGTAGCGAGTTCCGCAGCCATCTATTCACCAATATGTTGTTCAAGTACAATACTAACTTGGTGCTCTCAGTTGTGAGTTTTTCTCATTAGTTCAAAAACTACATTTAGATGAATGTCTTACTTGAATAGTTCAACAGTATATTGGTGAGTAGATAGCAATGAAATCGCGCAGGATTCTACCGTATAGTCTGCTTAGTGTGCTGTGCTTGTGACTGATATACCCTGATAGTTATTGCAATCCAGCTAATTTCCTTTTTTGTGAATGGATGATATAAAACCGTTTTCCAGTCTTGTGGAACAAGGTGTCTATTTAGGCTGAAAATGTATGTAAGACTTTTACAGAGTTTCTCGGTTCCCCATTTCAGCATTTCGAGCAATATCCCTTCTGGGCCGCGAGCTTTACCTAACTTCAGATTCTTAACAGTTTTTTTTTTACTATTTCCTCAGATATCTCAACTATTTCTCCATGTACTTCAATATGTCTTGGAGAATCTAATATACAGGGTGACTGGTAAGTGGACGTATTCCTTTGAGGAGGTGAAAGCAGAGCCCATTTGCTACCGATTAAACATCATTCACCTCTATACCATTCTCAACGGTTTTTGAGATATTTTTCATTTATATATTTAAGAAATTCACTTTTTTGGGAGGTAAATATATAAAATTATCGAAATAATAAGGAACATACCTTATTTAGGTAAATGTTAACACCAATATTTGATAACATTTCTATTGTAACACTTGTTATTAAAAACAAATCGAGTAATTTTTTCTTCATATTGGTTACTCTTACAAATAAAACTTATTTATTTAATAATAAAACAAAAGACTAATTCTGAAATAATGTGCCTTATTCTGAAGACAATTATATCGAGAACTTTTATTAATAATTTGTACGTTTGATATACTATGAAATTTTCGAAATTTTTAAGCATAAAGTAACCATTAGTTTGTAACTTGACAAGGAAAGTTAAGTTTAAACCGAAATAATTTAATAGTTAATATTATTATTTCAATAATTTTCAATGCTAATATTTGTGTAAGTGTGTCAGCTTATAATTTGAAAAGCGACATTTAAAATTGCTTTTATTATTTTCCTTAATATTAAATATTTACCGGGCAAAGGAGCGAATTTCTTGGAAATTAAAAAAGAATAAATATCTCAAAAACTGTTGAGAATGGTATAGAGGTAAATGATGTTTAATCGGTAGCAAATGGGCTCTACTTTCACCTCCTCCAAGGAATACGTCTACTTACTAGTCACCCTGTATATTCCGGTCTACTTTCTTGTAATAGACCTTTGTATAGTGTTCTATCTATTGCTCTGGCTTAATAATCTGGATATTAGCTCTGTCCTTTCCTGGGTTTTTGACATTTGATATAAATCTCCATACCTCTGAGCATTGCCTTCCTCCTATGTAGGTGTTAATTTCATCACATTTCTTATCCCATGATTGGCCATGATTTGTTCTTAGCTATAGTGATGCACGTTCTTATAGTTGTATTTTTGTGTTTTTATAAACTACTAGCTAATGACCCGCTGCGTTGCCAGCATGTAAATACATTTTGAAATAATACACTTCTTTTCAAATTTTGTTGTTGATTTCCTATTTAATTTTTTTTTTTTTAATCCAATATCATAGTCGCTTGCCAGTGAGTTCAGTGACGCATTTTAAGCACTCCAGAGCTGCTCTAGAGCGCCCCGGGCTGTTTATAGGCGTTCCAGTGTATCAGAGTTTTACGCAACCGAACTTTTTTTTCGGGATAAAACATAGCCTATATTACTCTCCTCTATAGCCGATTCGATTGACCGAATTAGATCGATCTGGTTCAATTTAAGTGAACCACACTGTGTTCGATTCAAGCTGGATCAGTGCACCCTCATCAACAAAAAAATGATCTAGATCAGAAGAAGTTCACTTAAATTGAACCCAAAACGATCTAATCTGGGTCAATCGAATTCACCTTATATAGAGATACGTGGTATTAATTCAAGATCGGTCCAGCCGTTCTTGAATTCAAAAAATAATAAAGTTACGTCGGTTGAATGCAAGCCTAAATAAATGAAATATGGCAACGTTGTTTCATGCTGTCAAAAAAGTTGGGTTATGTTGTTATGTAATGTGAATGAGTTTGTTTACAATTAAATTAATAATTAATTCAAAATTCATTTCTTTTTCCGAGATGCGTAACCTATCGACAAACCTTCCTTGGGATGGCCATAACAACCTACCAAAGTTTCATCTTAATCGGATAAGTGGTTTTGGAGCGCATATCCGGATACCCCGTGAACTTTGATTTTTATATATATAGATAGATAGATAGACTATAGATCTTGTTCATTTTTTGATGTTAGCCATTTCAGATATTTTTGCTTCTTCTTTTGGACTAATAGCTCTATATCTTCTCGTTCCACCAGTATTTCTTGTTGTTATTTTTTTCCTTCGTTCCTATTGCTTCTTGGGTGGCTTCTATTAAGACTTCTTATAATGTTCTCATAGAGTTTATTGAAGGTACATTCTTCAGGGTTCAATAGTTTGCTATCGAGTCGTCTCTGATATAGAAATACAGTGTTGTCATCTCTAAAACTGTCAAAATTGTAATTTGTTGTATCCACTGTGTCCGTTATGCTGTGGTATGGCATTGATGTTTTGTTCCTCTGAGTTCTTTTTCGTTACCTGCTCTCGGTGCCACTTCCTTTTTTTTGTACCATTTTTTTATTGTTTATTTTTATTTTTAGAAGAACGAGTGGAAAGCATAAAACTCAAATGCAAAGATAGTTAAAGACGAATAAGAAGAGGATAAGGTGGATCAAATGAGAAGTAGAAGTAGAAAGATGATAATAAGGTAGAAATAATACAAAAACCATATGAAATCGAAGATGGAAAGGAAAAAAAATAAAGAATGAGATAGATATGAAGGACAAGTTACAAGCCCAAGAGTGAAGTAGAAAGAATTTTAAAATCAAGATTAACAAAATATGAACGAACAGTGGACATCTGTAATGTTTTTTCTTAGGAGAAATACTTAGTAAAATAGAGCGAACACAAGGAACATGAAGAAGGAGAGACATAATAAGGCGGAAAATGATTAGGTAGAACAAAGGATTGAGAAAGATAAGAAAAAGGAGGTTAACTGGAAGATAAGGCGACATATTAAATTAATAGAATGTGATTAATAATAAAGAAGAATAAAAAAAATATATATTTAAGAAGATTTGCTCCCAGTCAAACGATACCCGATTTGAAAAAGCGACATTTAAATAAATATAAGTAAATGTTTATAATTCAATAAATATTTTTGTTAGAATCTGTTTTCTGATGCCACCAATGTCCTTTGGTAGTACTTGAAATCGTCACTTTCAAAATCTCTCAAATTTCCATACAAATTATGAGGCTTGGTTGCAGAATATATTCTTGACGTATCATCAGTATTGCCGGTTGAGTTACTTATGACATCACTGTGTTCATCTTCAGGCTTCTTTTTTCTGTAGCAAGTCTTTATCAGTTTGCAAACAATTTTTTCTAGGACTTGAATCAGACCAATTACACTTAAGCCTAAAATTAATTGTAATTTGCTATTTGATGATTATTTGAAGTTTCATCATTACCCAATAAAAATCCTAATGAGCCTCCAATGTCAGATACAAAAGCGTTAATATTATAAGCAAGATTCTCTCTCATTTGAGTAACCAAATTATTAGGATAATACATAGCAATAAAACTATAAGGCTCATCATTATCCACTTGATGTAAATCTTTTCTTCTTACAATGGTTGGCGTGTAAAGTATCACTCGACATGATTTTGGACAAGAACAATTGGCAACCAAAAGTCTTCGATTGCTAAAAAAAATAAACCATTAATTACAATGTTAGTAGGTACATTGATTTTTGACTTATTTACTGATTGAGAAAAAACGAAGTCATCATTGATAGTTGCTCAGAAGTGTTGCATTGAGGCAACCAATCACTTGGCAACAACCACAACCAAGGTAAAGTGCAATTGGTTCTGTTGGCAATTTGATAATGCAAACATTGTTCTAAGCACTAAAAATATAAATAAATAAATAGTTGTTACAATAGGTGATTTTTACCTTTGAGCGACCATAAAAAGGATCTACATTGAGTTCAACGCAAGGATTCTCATGCGTGTGCACCAAATGGAACTCTTGATATTTCAATTGCAATCTTATATCTTCGTTAGCTTCCAAATAAATATAATCCAAGAAATTATTGTCTTGTTCGTATTCAGCTATAGTATAGGAAGAAGACTTTAAATAAAATAGGCAAACCTCATTTGTTAAACTTACAAGTCATTATATCATTAACGTGATGCACGAATATATGGAACCCGTGGTTAGGGATTCCGTGAGAATCTACAGTCAATGTTTGCATTTGGTGCTTGAGGTAGAACCAGAAACCGCCCGAAATGCTGTAGGTACTCGATTGTTGTGTGGGAGTGAAGGAAAAGCACTTGCCGTAGTTGATGGTTTCGAATGATGTCAATTTAACAGCTGAAAATTAATCCAGTGATTATATTCTCGGCTCTTGATTTGAATTTGAATCTGATCAGGTACCTACAGGGTGTTTTTTTTTTATATATTAACACCCCACCTACAGCCTTTACCTTTACAGGTACATGAAAGGTGTAAATACAAAAGTTGTACAGTATTGGCTAAATTTTTAGAATACATATGGTCAGAAATAAAAATTGAATGTCAGAAATGTGGAATGTTGCATGCTTTTAGCTTTTTTCAAATGGGATCATAGGCGTATCCAGGGGCGGGGGGGGGGGCTGCCGGGCTGCAGCCCCCCCCCCAAAGGCAAATCCAGAATTTTTTTTTCAGCGTATTTTATGTGACATACAGTTTTTGTAAAAAAAATAGAAACATTCTATATATTTTATAATAAGGTTCTTCTATGGCGGGTGCCTAATGCAGCAAGGGCATCAGTACTTCATCTCAATCACCTTGAATGTCCAAATTATTTCCTTCTTCAGGAGAGAAGAAGCGCCGTGAACAAAATTTCTCCTCTTTACCAAAAAAAAAGCCGAAAAAGTGGCCCAATGCGAACATTTTTGTCGCCCCGCGAATAAGAATAGAGGCGTAACATTTGGGTATGTTACAGATGAATTCCTGACAAAAATAGACAACTTTCACATTTTTAAATTAATCTGTTAGTCTTTCTAATAACATCTGTATTTGTGTATGCTTTTTTTCCAAAAAAAAAAAAACGTCTATTTTTGAGAATAAATTGATTTGAAAATCGAATAGGAAAGGGACGTCACTTTCCCAAACATGCCAGGATGCCGAATTTCTCATTAGTAAATCATTTCAAAACATGGCTGACCTAAAACTAGTTATTTCACAACTCACTACTGACCTATTTTCGTTCTTTACTACTTTATAGGAAAAGAAAGGATAAGTATCATCAGTGAATTCATTATTGCTGCTTAGTATAATGATGATCCTAATCCTAAAATATATAAATATATCAGCATTTCTAATATGGCAAGAAGGCAAGAAGCGCATGGATATCGGCTTTAGCCAATGAGAGGCACGTAAAAATAGACATTTTTTTTTTTTTTTATTGACAGAGCCCCCCCCCAAACCAAAATCCTGGATACGCCTATGAATGGGATGCCCTATATTTGGTTTCATATTCTTGAAGAGTATTATTTTCCGATTTCAAAAATATATAGTTTGTCTATATTTGGTTGAGCCGTCTCCAACATATTTGGTTCTAAAAAATTTAAAAATACTACCTATCAGAGAACCTAAGTAAGTATATCCAATCCGGTATATGCTATTCACAATCCAATGTCCACAGGTACAGGTAAATTTATCACCTTACCCTATCAAATAGCATTGAAAGGTGATAAATTTCACCTGTCCTGTGGAGATCGGATTGTGAATGGATAATAGGTACCTCAAATTTTACCTGCAGCATTCACCTGTACAGGTAGAATGGTTCAGAAAATTAGTAGTAGGATAGTATTTTTACAATTTTTGGAGCCGAATTTATGAGAAACTGCTCAATCAAATATAGACAAACTATATATTTTTGGAATCGAGGCATTGTGCTCTTCAAGAATATAGAATAAAATATAGGGCATCCCATTTGAAAAAAGTTGGAAGCATTTAAAATTTCACATTTCTGACATTCAAATTTTGTTTCTGGCCATGGTTTCTAAAAATTCAGCCAAATCTGTACAACTTTTGTATTTACACCTTTCTTCTACGTGTAAAGGTAAAGGCTGTAGATGGAGTGTTAATATATAAAAAAACACCCTGTACAAATAAGTGGATTACTGCGGAACTTATAGGTGGACCTCTGCAGACATCTACTCACCAATATACTGTTGAACTGTTCAAGTTAAACATCATCTAAATGTAATTTTTGAACTAATGAGAAAAACTCACAACTGAGAGAATCTAGTTAGTATTGTACTTGAACAACATATTGGCGAATAGATGGCTGCGGAACTCGCTACGCTCGTCCCGCAGAGGTCCACCTATAAGTTCCGCAACAATCTCTCGTTTGTACTTAAATAACTTGTCACATCATGTTACTAGTTTGGTAAAGTAACATTACTAATTCCTATTAAAAGGTAAATTGACAAAAAATAGATAATCTTATAAACTCTGATTTTATATAAGTTATTGTTTAAATCAGTGGCGGTTCATACATGATTTTCTGGGGGGGGGGGGGGGGGGGGGTAATGGATGACAGGAAAATCATCAAGTGTCGCAACATACCGCCAGAGACGAAATTTTTTTTGGGGAGCCACGCCCAAATTTGCACCTGAAAGTCGTTTAAAAAACACGCTTCGGGCAAAAATGTATCCCGATGCCATCAAAATAGTTATACAGGGTGTCCACTTAGTGCGATATCGGACGATATCTTCTCACAAGGTGATGCAAGAAAAAAAAAATAAAAATTCAAAATTGTTTGATTCTCTAAGGTGCATTACTTAAAAATATTTTTTAATAAACAGGGTGCTCTGTAAATGGGGTATGCGACAGAACTTTGTTATTTTTAAATGGAACACCCTACATTTTAGTATATTCTATCGTTCTAAAAATCCTACATTATACTTTTTGTTAGGAATCATCTATACCAAAAATCAACCGTTTTTAAAATATTTGATATTTTTTCAAAAAATCGCAGCTTGCATGTGTCAACAAAAACCAACATATTTCATCCATTGGAGATCCTATAATCTAAAGCTTTTGCAGGTTGTTAGGCATAATGTCTGTCGATTTTAATCTAATACTCCAACGGAATTTGAGCTGGTGCCTCCCTACATTAGAACGCCAATGGTTACCTGACGTTACACCTGTTTTTGCCATGAAATACCCCCTCGCTCCTCATACGGAAAGTGTCAGTTTAAAAACGACGGACTTTACTTACATTTACTTCATGGTCCTATGAAAATCTGTTGACATTCTACAGGGAGTTCGCAATACTGTACACAAAACCAGACATTTCAAACAACCATAGCACTGTACACTGTGGTAAGCACGCAAGGTTGTTTGAGAGAGGTAGGTTGCCTGATAACTTTATGACGTCATCTGGGGTGCTTCAACATAATGCAAATGTACATAAGGCACCTCAGATGCGTCATCAAGTTACCCATCACCAGACAACTTATGAACTTTATAGGAACCTTAGTAGGTACGTCGGTACTGATGAGCTTATCATATTCATACGATGCCTATAATCCTTTACTTTGTAGAATGTAGAACTTGTCTTTTGTTGTAATTAATAAATGTATAAAAAAAATCTCTGTCTGGGGGGGGGGGGGGTAATTACCCCCTCTACCCCCTCTTTAAACCGCCCTTGGTTCAAATACAAATAAGTGGATTATTGCGGAACTTATGGGTGGACCTTTGCGGGACGAGCGCAGCGAGTTCCGCAGCCATCTATTCACCAATATACTGTTGAACTATTCAAATAAGACACTCACCTGAAATGTGTAGTATTTGAACTAATGAGAATAACTGAAATTTGAGTGAGTCAGGTTAGTATCGTACTTGAACAACATATTGGTGAGGTCCACCCATAAGTTCCGCAATAATCCACTCGTTTGTACTTGAATACCTTGTTACATTATGTTACTAGTTTTTTTAAAGTAACATTAATAATTTCTGTTAAAAGGCAAATTGACAAAAAGTGGATAATCTTATAAATTCCTGACTTTACATAATAAGTTAATGTTCAAGTACAGGGTTTTTTTCTTATATATTGACACCCCATTTACAGCCTTTACCTTTACAGGTAGATGAAAGGTGTAAATACAAAAGTTGTACAGTATTGGCTAAATTTTTAAAATCCATGGTCAGAAACAAAAATTGAATGTCAGAAATGTGAAATGTTGCATACTTTCAGCTTTTTTCAAATGGCATGCCCTATATTTGGTTTTATATTCTTGAACAGCATAATTTCCCGATTCCAAAACTATATAGTTTGTCTATATTTGGTTAAGCTGTCTCCAACATATTTGGTTCTAAAAATTTTAAAAATAGTATCAGAGAAACCAAGTATAATACCTCAAATTTCACTTGCAGCTTTCACCTGTACAGGTAGAATGGTTCACAAAATCAACAGTAAAATAGTATTTTTACAATTTTTGGAGCCAAATATATGAGAGACTGTTCAATCAAATATAAACAAACTATATATTTTTGGAATCGGGGCATTGTGCTCTTCAAGAATATCGAATGAGATATAGGGCATCCCACTTGGAAAAAGCTGGAAGCATTTAAAATTTCACATTTCTGACTTTCAAATTTTGTTTCTGACCATGGTCTCGAAAAATTCAGCCAAAATTACACCTTTCTTCTACCTCTAAAGGTAAAAGCTGTAGGTGGAGTGTCAATATATAAAAAAACAACCTATATAGTCTGGCAAGTGGTAAGTTGATAGAGACGAAAGGGGGAAAAAAGTGGGGCGTAACTTACGAATATTCACTGACACCTCAACTGACACCGCTTGATGAGAGCCATGTCTTTGGGTTCAGTGGCACCGAAAACACCAAGGAAATGAACCAATAAAATTATTAGATTTTTTTTGTGAGTTTCAACAATAACCACGCCACTGTGCTGTCATTCAGGCCATAGAGAAGTTCAGGCTTTAACCTTAGCCTCTAACCAATAGAATCATGCCTCTGAATAATCCAGCCTCTCCACATCTATCATTTTGCAATGTTGCCGGATTTTTTTCTATTTCAAAATACTACACATGCCATGCCCATATAGCAAAAAAAAATATGTCACCAACTTGTTTATTACTGTTTCCGTCAAGTTTGGCAAAGCAGCAAATTCTATTGCAGTTCGCCGTTTGGCTAGCCAGACAATACATAGCTGTTTTAGTTATAAAGTACTAAACACAAG